ATCTGCACTTGACCCGGCCATAGTTCTGCTAGCAATGATTCTTCTTTTCCATTTTCAACTAAATGGAATTTGTGGTTTGACCTTTTTGATTAGAATTCCTCATTCTACTTGGATATATCTTAATGAGCTCTTTCAAAAAGAAGAATGACTAAAGCAGCAAAAGCTCACTCACTCATGTCGGGAAGTCAGTTTGCACTGCTTTACATGGGGTCAGATGAAGGTCATACTGGGCATCCATTAGTGGCCTTATTTAGAGTCTGATTCCTTTAAGAGGAGTGATTGGCCAGCAAAGACAAAGAATCATTACCTTTGCCCGCCCCCTCCCTGCCAGCAGTCAATAATGAGGGATCATTAAAATGAATAGATGGACATTCCCCTTTTCTCCGGATCCTTATTGCAAAATCAGTGTCAGGGGAAATGAAGATTGAGCTCGGAGAAGGCGTCTAAAAGCCTCACAGTGATTGTCGTGAACTCATCTCCAGTGCCAGGCTCCTTTATCTACTGTAAGAGTCTGCACCTGCCTGAACTCTTGACTAGCAAGGGCTTTTACTGTAGCCCATTAAGAGCATTCCTAATGTGCGCTACAATGTACTTCAACATAAACATTCTGTATATGTCCCGAAACATTTACAACAAACAATAGAGGAGGGCTCGCTCGGGATGTCTTGGAGTTTTATTTCCTTTTTGTCAATGAAGAAGAATAGAGCTCTCAGAGTGGACGAGAAAGGCCATTTGAATGGGTCCACTTTGATGTGGAGAAAAAGAGAACTCATCCTGTATGAACAGACCCCCTTTAAAAGAAAATTCTCACTTTTCACATTTCCAAAGGGCAAACATCTGTCCTGCTGCTAAATTTGACAAATCCTTGCACAACATTTCACGCATCACAAAAGAGAGACAGAGAGAGAATCAAGCTGCTGAATGATTGCAGATGGAGAATAAAAAAAAAAGGCACAAGATTTTTCCAGGCCCCATCTGGTTGCCTTTCTGAGTGACTCTTAAAGTGTCTTTTAAAAAGGTGATTTGTCTGTTGGTCCACAACCATGTGACCATGTCAGCGGGTCATCTGCTGGTTCTGTCACATGGAAACAGGCCCATGAAAGGAGTTCTGTGTACACCTGTGGAGCACCAAAAATCCCAACCTTAACAGATAAAGAAAACACATGTAAACACATGCTCATAACCACACACAGACATATGGTCTTCATCTTCTTTATCTTCCTAAAGGTAATTGATGAAACGGTCTGTTTATAGTCAGCTGACGTATGTCTATGAAGAAGAACGAATAATCAGGGACTCTAGGAACCAAAGAAAAGATCAAATGTGGCACGATCGTAAGGGACAAAACTATCAAAGGTCCGAGTGAATGGTCAAGCAATTATCTCTTAAAGCACCTCTTAAAGCCACCCCCATTTTTCTCTCAACATGCCCTTCATAACGGAGGTATATTGAGGATTTACTGCCTGCAGATGGCCGAGGAGAGTAGAGGGCAGCAGGCTCCAGCGCTGTGCCTATGCGCTCACTTTATAAAAGCCCAAATCAAGGGCTCAGTGGGAATACGATGGAGGAGGAAGCAGAGCTGTAAAGAAGCCATAAAAAAAGCCTTCAGTGAAAACTTCTAAGTCGTGCCCTCTGCCAGGTGTCGTGTGCAGGTGGACCCTTGGGAGAAAATGGCACGCGCTGCTCTCGTTATGATCAGAGGTTATGATTTTTGCATGTCTTCATGGTCTACTTAAAGGATGTCGTGGTCCAAATTTGTGTCCATCAGTCAGACTGCCAATCATTTGTTGAGTCTGTCTGTCAGCAATCACTCTGTCAGTAAAATTTGACCAGTCAGGTCTTTGGACATCTTGTAAACCAATCAGTGCATTCTTTCTGAATACAGCCACGTATACTTTGATCATGAGTTAAATACTATATCAAATAAGCATCAGGGATTTATTATTCTAATTTAATATATATGATTTCTGTTAAAAGGTTCAGTGAAAATAAATATTTTACTAAAAAAAATCCTTTAAATTGTGAATATGAAAAGTTACATGCATCATTCAAATTTGGAAATGGGGTCGTCAAAGGTGCTGATCATAGATGAGTTATTGTCTTACCCACGGCTGGTGGTCAGCTTGGCATTTGCATGAAAGCCATCTACTCTCCATAACATGTACTTGTTGGTCCTCCATCTTAAATAGAACAGATTGTTATCCTGCATAATTAGCCTGATCATTTTCTTACCAAAAATAATTAGTATAAAAATATCAATATCTGTGTGATGGATATTACTGTAAGGTATGAGGAGGTAACAGTCAACTAAGTTTAGCATGATAAGAAAAAAGAGAAACAGCTTGCCTTGAACCATCTAAAGGTAAGAACAGTCAGTACCTCAACAGCTCACTTGTGTTTTGTTACGATGAAAGATAACTTCATTTTCACTCAAGAACATCTGCTGTGATGAAAGACCAAAATCACACATTTAGTCATACCTTTTATTATGATATATTGTGTTTTTGTAAGTGTTTTATTAGACTTTATTTTAAATATTATGTTTTCTATTAAAAAAAAAAAGCCTGGGGTTCGAATCCGACCTGTGGCTCCTTTCCTGCTTGTCGTTCCCCGCTCTCTCTCCTGACTCTGTCTACTGTCTATCTCTAAATAAAGGTATAAAAAAAATATTTTAAAAAAGGAAGAAAGCAAGGTCTTCTAGGGGAAGTGTCAGAAATAATCCCTGATGTAGCAGTGGGTGTGTGTTGTCTGTGTCGGGGAGAAAATAGACAAAGTAAACAAACACTGTAGGCTACGCGTAGTGGTTAAACAGCATGGTGTAAGTTCTTTTGAAGAGTAAGAACCAATGCAAAACTTTACTTACAGGTAGATTTTGCTCCTTTTTGCAGCCCATTAAATCCACCTGTTTCCTCAATTTCCAATGTTTTTAGCTATAAGTTAACCTCTTGTGAGTGTATTTGACTTATAAGGGTTGTATCAGTTATTTTATTTTGATGAAAAAAGCAGAAAGTATACAAGAAGTACACATGCACAAACGTTGAATTAAATACATCAAAACTTAACTAAAGAAACTCATGAGCATTGGTTTTTAAAGTGTTCCAATCCTGAATGTTTAACTCTCGTAAAATGCAACATTGCCGTAGGCCGTGTGTGATACTATATATCAGTATTTATTGTTTTTGTTTTATTATCATGGCTATGCAGCTTTAGTTTGCCTTTTCTTGTTTTGTTGAAAATGTGGCCCTGAGTCATCTCTCCACTGTGTCAAAGGGTATGGCGCTGTCAGAGGAAGACTAAGGTAAGGAGGACACGGTGCCAGGAAAAAGGGGCGTGACTGCATCTGTAAATAGTGGAGCTATTTTGGGCTCACCATGGTCGTACAGGGGAGCACCGCCTAGGCCTGCCTTCTGTCACTATGGGGATAGGCGCTTCATAACTTTGGTGCATGGAAAAAGTCTGGAGGACTGGCAGGTGGTACACAGGAGCATGGCACAGCTCCCATGGCGAGGAGCCGTTTCACTTATAACTAACCGCCATTAACAATACTCACCGGAAAACACACAGGCCTCTACTTGTAAAGGCTACCTGTCACATCAGCAGATTGTTGCTTAAGTACAGTGTAGGTTGGTTTGTAAATTGGTTTTAAACTAAAGTGGGAACACAAGACCAAATACCATCTGTTGATTGATTGAAGTGTCATCTTTCCTGGCAGTAGCAAAGGAAACATTTTAAGAATGATATTTAACCCCTACTTAATGCAACCAACGATTAGATAGCAATTATATTGAAGTCAAACTACTGGATGTTTGGGGTGCCAAAAAAAGCAGGAAAAACTAAATTTTCCGATACACTAGTCAATGTCAAACTGTCTCCATTTCAGGTTTTATAAGGGATATAGGTACAGGTTGGAACAGTCTGAGGTTTACTGAGGTCAAGCTTTATAACATCAGGAAATCACACAGCCAAGTCAAATAAAATGCCTTTAAACTAAAGCATAGCCACATGGATAGATAAGTCTAACTGAGTTTCAGAACAGTTTCTGATCATAAAAATAAAAAAAATCATAAACTACCTTATATGAATGCTAAAAAAATAAAATAAGATGCACCAATTAGACATTTCTAGGAAATGTACATTTGTTTGAATTAAAATAAGGAATCCTATTGGATAAAAACAAAGCATAGAACTATGTACTGAAAGTGTTGATGGGGCGCTGTTAGCCTATCGGTTATCTTGTGTGCCCCATCAATGGAGGCCATAGTCCTCGTCGCAGTGGCCGTAGGTTCCAATCCCATCCTGCACGTCACCCCCCCACCCCCCTTCCAACATTTCTTATCTCTCTTCAGCTGTCCTATTCACTGAAGGCAAAAAGCCCAGAAAAATAACTTAAAGGTCACATATTCTCCTCCTCTTCAACCAGTTTAAATAAGTCTCAGAGCTCCCCAACACATGTCTTTGAAGTTTGTTGCCAAAAAACCACTCTGATCCTGTATTTGATCATGCCTATAAACCCCCCTGCCTAGAACAGGCTGTTTCTGTGACTGTAGCTTTAAATGCAAATGAGCTGTGTCTGACCACGCCCCCTCCAGAAGGGCTTCGGGGGCTGGGGCTTTCTTTCACCATGCTCAATTGTTTACATTGAGAAGGCAGACTCAGAGGGCAGAACAAACACCCAGCTGTTGGAGTGTCACCCACCTAGGGGAGGGGTTACTGCCCTTTGTGATGTCATGAAGGGAAAATCTCAAAATGGCCTGTTTGAGCACAGAGTTTCTGAAAAGTGGAGCAGGCAAATGACAAAGAGGATGGACTTTTCTCATAATTGGGGGGTTTGTAGACAGACTAGAGATGCATAATAGTGTAAGAAAAACATGATAGTCATCTTTGCATAATATGTGACCTTTAATAAAAGGTGTTGATGTCTAATTCCAAGTCCTTTAAACATAAACACTCAAAAATCAGCAAAGTGTGCTTTTGAATACCAGACACACACAAATGATATGTAGTTTATATATGGTCACCATTATGCCATTTATTTATTCATTGTAGAGAACACATTAAATGCACTTTAAAACACATTTCATTTTTCATAAATATTTCATATTAAAGAGAAATAAGGTTCACCTTTTTTTTCCTACAAAGAAAAGCATGATTAGAGTTGCGATGATTTTGTGTCCAAGAAAGAGATTAAGGCACAAAATAGAAACTTTATTCATACACTTTAGTCATGCTATTATACTACTTGTTGGAAAACAAAATAGGAAGCTATAAGTGAGAGCTACTGTCTGCTAAATGATTCCAAACTTTAGTATGATGTGCATGCTCCATAAAGACAGAAGAGACTGATGCCGTGTGAGAGAGGAGTGGAAGTAGGTGAGTTCATGAATCAGTCGGCAATATTTGGTTTGGAGGCAAGAAAAGCTGTTCTGTAAAGTGCATTATGTTTTTTTTTTTTTTAATAAGCTGTTCTACACTTAAGTCTACGACAGAAAAACAAAAGAAAACTTGGACAATAATTTCACCAAAGATAAAATCCTTTGGTTTACTCAGATCAATTATTGCCCCAGTACGTAACAGTCCTGCCAACTCCTCAGCAGAATCCCCCAGGTGAGTCCAACTGAGCCTGTGTGGCGTTCTTACATTATCCCTGTGTCTATTTACACACAGACCTGCAGTGCAAGAAGTGACTGACAAACACATCTTTTCCATTGGTATTCTCATTTCTATTCAGCAGGTAAGCATACCATTGTTGAACTATTCTATAGCTGGGAAAGAAGAAAATGTTGATACCTGCCTTTTTAAGCTCCCAAAACTAGGAACTGTTCATAAGATATGTTCTTTATATTTCTCAGATTGTCTTTGCATTAATATGTCACGGTTTAGGTGGAAGACGAGCACAGGGTGATACAGAAAAAAAATAGGCACTAAGGTGAAAAGTATATCGAAGAGAAATAGAAATGGTACAAATCATTTCAGGGGAGGACAATTTAAAATAAGAAGCTAATGGAAAAAACAAAGTAAACAGCGTCATAAAGCATAAGGCGTACATTTCCAAATACATGTTTATACAAAAGAATATACAATAACATTCAGTATAAATGAACAATGAGATAATAATGAAGGCGCAGGAAGAAAAGAAATACAATTCTAATCTATTCACATAATCCCTACATGTATTCCAGCCTTTAATCCTGTTTCCCTGTAAACAAATTTTTGAAATGATACAAAACGGTCATAGAAAAACGTCCACGTTACAGTGAACCTTTTGCATTTGTGCCACTGCTGCTGTTGTTTGCCGTCAACATCACTGCTGTAAGGCACCTATTCGGTTGATGCGGACTGACTGCACAAACAAATAGAGCAAAGTGATGAAACGCGACACCTCTCGTCCTGTTAACTTGTCCATGCATTAACATACAGATCACACTCGATAAGAAGATTGTCATTTGTCTACAATGGGAGGAATTCAGTCTCATTGAGCTGTTTGGTCCGCTTAAGAACATCTGCTGTGACTTTAAGGCGAGTGTCGTCGTGTACTCTTCCCCTGAAATCACTTCCCTTTGTGTAAATAGAACATTCATGTGTTTATTCAAATGGAGCTCTGCCAGTGATTGTCCTTGTGATTCTCAGAGGATCTGGTGGCAGAGGCGGTCGAGATGGGGAGATCCTGGTCCAAACTTACTTCTTCATCACCTGGATCTGATTTGATTGTGTATTTGTCCTCTTTTTGTTGATGCTGCTGCCGTCTGAGTGTGTGCTGTGGCAGAAGACTTCTGGACGTCTATGCGTGTGTGTGCACGGAAATGCTGGAGAGGTCGTTCCTGATGATCTCGTTAACTGTGGAAAGAAAAGAGAGGTCGCAGATTATAATTAGCTAGTCGCGTTGAATAACATTTCACTTCATTATAACACTATTAGGTATGATGGAGAGAGGAGAGCCTGCTGGAAGCAAGTCGGTTAAACTCCTTACCAAGGCTGGAAGGGTACTGGAAGTGGACCCAGAGCTCCAGCACACATTTAACACATGAAGATCGATTTACTTTTAACAGTTGTTTACTACAGCATGTGGGTGAATAGCACAATTTCAATGGGGCACCTCAAACCGATGGGTTTTAAAAAAAAATGATACAATCACTTTGTGTTGTGAGATTCCCTGAAATTTGGTCAAAATTTGCGTTACATTTAGATGGAAAAGTTTTAATTTAGGATACTAAATTGTTGGATACTTAAAGTGTTTTATTTCAGCCTTAAACTTTTTCTTTAAACCTTTGAGATTTGACAGAAGTGTTTGCTAGAGACGTAGGGTTTAATGACAGATTTTTCAGGATTATGCTAAATGTAAAATCCAGGGATACAACTTTTTTTTTTTAGTTAAGCAGGGTACACTACAAGATAATTTGAGCCCGATTCCTCCCTTCTGACCAAAACCCAGCAAAGGCCCGATTATCTGCTGGTTCCAGAGATGATCTCTATGTGCTAAGAGTGATGTTGACCTCCCCGATCTGCTGGGAAGACGATCGTTTTTTAAATCTTTTAAGGCCAGACCTTAGGGGTAGCCTATATTGGCCTCTGCTGCTTCAGTTTTTGACACGAATTAAAATGTATCTCTCTTTGTAGAATGATAGTCCCAAATCAATGGAGTACACCTTAAATTGATGTTATTTCAAAAATATTCACTTCAAGATTACAAGCGACACAAGCCCTGATTTATAACCTCTTGTTAATTGTGCGGTCCTATTTTGTTTAGAAGTCTACCACTGACAGCTGCTCTGTGTTGCTTTTACTTGACTTAAAAAAGAAAAAGAAAGACCAACACCTTGACTGTAGAATCCAAACTCTACTTCATGAAGACCGCAACAGTTAATGTCACATGATGCAATACTACATTGAATTCTTGGCATACATGTGGTCGAGATGAAAAGTACTACTTATTAGTAGCTGCAATCCAAACATATCATCGTCATTAGTAGCCTCATATCAGCCCGTACACACATCTCTGTTTTTGAGTCACCATCTCGTCTTTCCTGCACCAGTTCCTGTGCCCGCGCCTTTCCCACAGTCGGGCAGACACAGATCAGTCCCCGGCCTTTATCTGCTCTGTGTTCTTTGGCAAAACAGAGGGAAGTGACTGTGAAGATGGCGCGGACCCTGAGTCCATGTGGCTCGACGCAAACAAGAAGCTCCTCAGTTATTGAGCAGGCTGTGATAAAGAGGGCTGATGTAGACAGAGTGTGAGAGAGAGAGACTCTGGTGAAACCACCATCAGCGTTAAGGAGCCGAGACAGGAAGTCCACCCACTGTGAGGCCTACAGGTTGTTATCACTATTCGGTGAGGCTTTGCACTGATCCAGACAAAAACAAGATAACGGCTTTTTGAAACAGTACAAAACATACAAAACAGTATGACGTCTGCTGGCTTTATTTAGAATATCATAATGGTTTATCTCTGGTGCAAATCAAATATGAGAAAACCACGTTCTGGTTCATGTTCAGCTGAACTTATCCATGGAAAATGATGACAAAACATCACAGCAGTTTGTTGGCTTGTTATCAAGAACAAAAAATAAAGTCAAAAACAAATGAATGAGTAATGGGTCACAGATTGCACTTTATAAAAAGGTAGGCCACACACCTTTAATAGAATGCCCTGCTTTCCTTATACAGCCATCTATTCACACATGCAGACACACACACGCACGCACACACACACACACACACACACACACACACACACACACACACACACACACATATCGGTTGGGGCTCACCTCCCTAAACAGAAGGAACTCCCATAGGAAAAATCCAACCTGTGCCAACACACTTGGCTGTTTTCAACTCTATCCCGCCCCAGGCTAAACAGGTATTTGCATGCTGTGGTTATTTTTAGCTCTGCCATCGCTGAGCAAAAAGGAAGTGCAACAATTAAATGATCAAAATGAAACGTTGCTGCTCTTCTCAGTCAAGCTGAGGTGAGAATACAAAAAAAAAAAAAAAGCTCCAGGTAATTCTGAAGAAGAAGGGAAGGGAAAACCCAACAGCTCGGCGGCAAAAAGCCACAAATGTACTCTTTGTTTTTCTCAGAGGAAAGCACTGACTTCCTTTCTCCTTTTCAGTCACATTAAAAAAAACATAACGACATCTCAGCCGCCCACATATTAACTGCAGTGTTGTTTTGCAGTTTTAATAATTTCCATTGGCATGCTCAAAATGTTCCATCCTGAAGACAGCGGTGATAAAGAGAGAAGAAAAGGTGTAACACTGGCCCCTGTGTTTTTTTTTCATCTGTGTACTCTTCCAGCTACGTGAGAATCTCAGAAACAGGATGTGGCCAACTGTTACACCACAAGGCAACACCAAGCTGCTATTTATAGACGTTTTAATGGGGTAGCTCGTGCAACTATTTAAGTGAAACAACTTCTGAGAAAAGGGAGACATTTTCAATGAAAGGTGACGAAACAGGTATAATACACAACAACACACACAGGTAAGGCTGGTGGAGGAGTAGAAGCGCACATTTTCTTTTAAACCATGTGTTTGGCAACACGTCATCGATTACGTATTGTTTCCTTTCATACAAAAACTGCCTGGTTTATAAAGTCAGTTTCAATAAAGTTTGATTTCATTTAAAGAATAGAATGAAGATCAGGTGTTATATTTCTGCCAATGATTGTTTTTTTCTGTCCGTCTCCATTTTTGAGACTACCTACCATGAAGTGACTAGATAACCACAAATATGCAGAATAAGGAAAGACAGTCAAGACATGCTGGGGAACATTTTGTTCAGAGTGGAATTTGGCTCCACAAATGTAACTTATTGCATCATGTGTACAGGCAGGGGTTTAGCACAAGACCCCCTCTGTAAACCAGGCCTTATAAAACTATAAACCAAGTTGTGGTGTTTTATAAGAACATGACAGAATTATAGTTTCCACTTTAATGCTATAGTAAAACAAGTAGGCTTTGTTATTTTATTCAATAATGATGCCAAACAATATGTTTATTGTTGGGTATGTACATAAATTAACTCTCTGTGGAAACTGATTTTGTTTTTTCTTTTCTCAGTTGTCCAGGTTAATAATGGAAAGCCCTAACTGGGAGGATACCCTCTCATGAATAAACAAAAAACAGCGGAAAACTGCACTCCCAATATTCCCCTGCTGAAAAAAACAAAACAAAAAAACACATGCTCTCTGGTCGGAGTTAAACAGAGTGACATCCTTTATTAGCTGAAGTGCCAGTGCAATCGGTAAACCGCAGCCAGGACCTGTCAGGATTTATACTCAGGGCTGTGTGGCTGGAAGATCTATTTCAGGCAGGTGTAGACTTAGATTTAGACTTAGACTTTCTTTATTGTCATTCACACTTGTACTTTACAGTGCAGATAAGAACGAAAAAAGTGAGAGTGAGAGTGAGAGTGACACCAAAATATTAGTGTGTTTGACTGAGACGCAGAGTGTGCTGAGCAGTTTAGGGAACAATTCAGCTTCTTTGTGAAGGCCTGGCACTGTTACCTGGCTGATTCTTGAAACCTCAGTTTGCATCAGCTATGACATGAAACAGGTTGCTGACGTTGCAAATAGAAATCTGTCTGAATCACCTGTGATGGAAAATCGTTTTTTTTGTTTTACCTGCTACAACAGGTGGTGGAATAACTCTAGCCTGTGTATACACTACAGGTCAACTCTCATAACCTGCACCATTTGAGTTATTAAATTAACCACACGCAGGTGGGTAACAGTTAGCTCATGTGTGACAGGTTGCCTGAGACCGACCATAGCAGAAGGCCCAGCGGGCTGTGATGCCAAAAATAGCATAGTTTTAAAAAAAATAAATAAATAAAATCACAAGAGGCTGCTAGGTGTGGGCATGTTGCTACAGGTACCACTGAGAGAATATAATGGAAGCTATGAGAGCATGTAACATCTTTATCAGGCATCACAGACACCAATACACTGAAAAACAGAAGTGTATGTGCCAGATTCTTAAAGTGGAAAGTCTGTCAGTCTTTTATACTCAGTCTAAACAATCCAAATGTAGAACAGTAGGTGAAGTAAAGTGGTCTTGGAAATGGACAGTGCAAATGCCAGTGTGCACATGTCTAGACTAGCTAAATGAAGTCGAAAGGAACTTTTGGAGACAGAATAGGGAACTCTATGTTTGCATCCATAGTCCCAAATATGCAGAAGCACTTATCTTGATCGTGTGGCTGTATCATCACCCCCTTTAGTAAGATGGCATGATGTAATTGGCAAATACTGTAGATTTAATTTTCAGCCAAATTTCCACCATTTTCACCATTTTCTGCCAAATTTCTGTCAAAATATTGAACTCTTCTATGAGCTCTGTTTTTGGTCTCCACCATCTCCTGAGCGGATGATTTGTTTTCTGTGGCTTTGGGTTTCACTATGTTGACAAGCTAGCTGCTAACATTCAATCCAATATTTGAAAGTTCACACAGAAATTCTGGTGGCTGCAGCATGGAGCGGCTAACTCCATGTTTTGAGAAACTCAAGTTGCCTAACAGTGTTTTATCTTATTCGTTAGCATTTTTATCACCTTGCCCTGGCACAGCAAGATGTGACCAAAAGTTTGAAAAAATTCCACATAAACATCATGAAGTGCACCTGCCGTCCCACATACAATGGAAGTGTTGCTGTATGGCTGTAAACTGGAAGTTGCTGTGTCTACGTCATGGTGCTGTGATTTGTCCCTTTTTTAGTTCAGTAATTGAAGCTTGGGTGTTTACCCTATAACTTCATTTGGCCACTCTGAGTGTATGAGTTTAGAGTGAACCTGACCTGCACTGGGGATTTAGTTAGCATTGTTAGAGGCAAGCG